AAGGATCTCCAGGCTGAAACAGGACAGGGCCGCTGTGTGTATCCCGCAGCGGGGCGAAGCAGGAGAGGGCAAGATCAGTCCTGACACTGGCACGCTCGCAGGGGTCAGAGGTCGCACCAGTTCACTTTCCAAAAACACCAAAGAAGAGAAAGCGGCTCGGCTGTATGAACTTGTGACAGTCAGGGTGAGCCATTATGAAAAGTTTACCCCTATTTTATATATTCAAAACCAGTTTTAACCCTTGCATGTCAGTTTAAAAAAGTTACACAGAGGTCCTTAGAGGACAAAATCTCCATACCAAAAAAATGGTCATAAAATATTGTATATTAATATTTTTTTTTCTGTTTTCAGTGACATTTCTTTACCAACATCAGTCCTGATCATATAACTACCAAAAATGCATTCATTTTCAGGATTTTAACCCTTTAAATGTCAGTTTGTTGTTTACATAATGATTTTTATATCAGTAAGTCTTAAGTGATATATCAATAAATATGTTAATTGGTTTAGAGTATACTAAAGGTCTTTGCACACTGAGTCCGAAATTCTCGCACGTTAAAAAATAAATATGACCTAACGTTGTGTCAATCACGTTTACACTCTGCCTCCGAAACTTCCGTCCTAGTAAAAAAAATTCAGACCAGGTTCAATTTTCTGCGTTTTCGTAGCAAGCATTTTGATTCCGTGTGCAAGAACCTTTAGTATGAAATAAATTTATTTTAAATTTATTATGGCATAGTTTTTTTTCTAGGGTAGCAAAAACATTAATTATGATGCATTATTAGGCTGTTTTTGTGCATTGTCAGATTAAAGAAAAAACATTCACACACACACACACACACACACACTCCTTACAAACATGCAAAACACACTCTGATATTGATACCAATACACCCACACAATTATAATTACATAATTTCAATTCAGTTGCCTTTTTAGCAGAAGCAGTTAACAGCAAAAATGATGTCTTTACAACAGAATCAAAGCCTATTAACAAAGAATGCATGAATGTATGCTTAAATATTAAATATTACAGTATTAATGGGTTTCAAAGGGGAAATTTTGTCCTTTAGGTACAAAAAATACACCCAGGATCATGTGTAAAAGAGATGTACGAAAGGAAATGAAATATTAAAATTCCAATAAAAATATAATTTTTTTTACACAATTTATGCTGTTTGCGTTAACACAGCCAAAATGAAAAACAAAAATGAAAAAGACAAAAATGTCCCTAAGGACGCACAAACGATGCACTCATATATGTTATGAATGTGATGCAATGCAGTTTTATCATGATTACTTTACAGTTGAAATGTACAGTTTCTCATAACATGATTTAATTTTGCGCAGGAGGAGATGTCAGAGATGCGTGGGAATCTGCGGCTCCTGGAGAAAGAGAGGCGGTGTTTGGACCTGACGCTGATGGTCCAGAGTGCCCAGGATTCTGCTGGTGCTCTGATCCTGGACAGTCTGCGAGATGAGCTGGGGGAGAGGAGAGCCACTCAACAGGTGCTTTGAAATGTGTCGCCTAGTGTGTCAAAAGTTGATACATTTTAAAAACGATCCGGTACCTGCTGATATTCGTCTGCTTTTAAGTGTTCCCTTGTGTGAAGTGCATCAATGGTTTCTATTTACAACAGGGCTGAGCACTGTAGCCAATCATAGACATGTTTGTTGAGCGCATGAACCCAATGACCAATCAGAGGTGTTTAAGTCAGAATCCACTGAGTTTGTTCAGCATGCGTGCTCACGATTTATTTCACTATAACCAAGTATAAACAAGATATAAGTAAGAGACTGATTGTGCATCATAAATGGGAGTTTTCACTCAGTCAATGAGTTCCTGCTGCGGCCGAACCGATTTGATTATAATGGGAGCGTTCTTTGCTCCCATTGGTTTGGAAATGTACTATTATGTTTGCATGATGGTCAACAGAAAGTTGTGAGTTACAATAGGGCCTTTCGCACCGCTTTAGTTCCAGAACTAAATGTACAGTACTAAAGTACTGGGACGATTTTGCCCGACCTATTTCCCAGTACCATTTAAAGGGTTGCATTCGCACCGAGAGTGTGTACTAAGAAGTGACGTAAGCCGGTCGACAGCGTCGTCATTTGTGCGCGGCGTTCAACAACAGAAACAAAGAAGAACAACATTAACAACAGGAGGATGGAGGACGCTGTGATCGGAGCTGTGTTTTTGTTGTGTCTCGCGGGTTTCACAATAATGGACATGGAAAGTCGACGTATACGTAAAGCGATTGAAAGAACAGAAAGGAGGACTAAGAATCTCCAACGACAACTGGCAGTGCTACATTTGCTACAAGTGCCTGCACTTCAGCGTCCGTCCATCTATCGCTGTTCTCCATACTTGCGAAATAAGTTGACACAATGTTTACAGTATGTTTACACGGCGTTTTAAATCATGGCGGGTGAGGGCGTTTTCATACGCGTTTGGCCAATCAATGTCTACTTTACGTCACGGGTAGTACCAGTTTTGCTGGTTAGACCCTGCTCCGGAGTAGGAGCTAATTTGGTTCTCGAAAAGGCAGTCCGGTACTAAAATCGCACCCAGTTCCGGCGGTGCGAAAACGCCAAAAAGTGGGTAGTTCCACAATTAGTTCTGGTACCATGAAAAGGTTCCCGCGGTGCGAAAGGCCCTAATGTGTCGAAATACCAGATTTTTTTTTTTTTTTTAATTTTCGGAAACACTGAAAAGCGATACACCTTGTCTCGGTTGTAGAGAATTGCTGAAAATTTGGCAAAACTAGAAGGTGGAGGGGGAATTCCTGGTCCTCGGAATCACTCTATCCTAAGAGAACTACAAGCAGCACTGCAAAGGTAGGAAAAGACACCAAAAGACATCAGACTCTCATGAAAAGGACTCATTACTTGTGGATGTTCTACTTCCGGTTGCAGGGAACAGTCACTGAGGAAGAGAGTGGCAGCTTTACGTGAGTCGCTGGACTCGGCGCTCACAGACAGCACTACTCAGAGAAGGATCAACAGAGAGGAGATTACGCGTCTCTCCCGCTACTACATGTAATCCAAAACCACATTACAACACTATCATTAGCATAAGAAGTAGAGTACATACAGTCACATGATTGTCATAGTAACAGCTTGTATAGTCACATGATCAACAATTCCGACAAATATGTAACGGACGCTAGCTGGTAAGAGCTGTCAAGTCAAGTCACCTTTATACAAAAGAAGATTGTGTCAAATAAGCTTCACAGAGATAAATAGGAAATAGCAGAATCAATTATGGAAATACAGTTATGAAGACAGTTTAGATTCTGCTGTAAAGCAGCTCTAAACCATGTTGAAAAAACCAGCATATGCTAGTTTTGAAGCATGGTAGCTGGTTTGAGCTAGTTTAAGCTGGTCCGTAGTTGGTCACAAACTGGTTTAACCAGGATGTTATAAGTTATAAGCAGGGCATAATAGTATCATTGTCTAACTTAAGTCAGTTCAGTGTTGGTTCAGTTCAGATATTTTCATTGTGATCATGACTTCTGTTTCTCTCAATTTATTAAGCATAATCGTTTGTGATGTTTGCCTTCTGGTTATTTATCCTAAAAACGTTTTATTTTAATTTGGCATTTGCATTATCTTGCATTTGTAACAAGCCTCCGTAAGCTTGTGTGGTTGCCAGATTTCAAGAGTTTAAATCCCCCAAACAGAGCTTTTTTCATCAATCGATACACTTCCTGCCCAGTGGTATACTGAATCTTCTCAACCTGGCAACCACGCACATGTACTCTCTCTGCATTATGGAAAAATCGCTGATGAGCTGAAAACACTGGTCAATCATTTAGCAATCTCTATTGAGATTTTCTGCTCAAATTAAAGTGTAAAACAGTCAGTCTGTTTTCTTTTACACATTTGTTTGCACTGTTTGCTTCGACTAAATCTGTGAGCAAACTGTGCGAGTTGATGTTCTCTTGATTTGAGCTTATGTGATTATATTTTTGCGCATAATAATCATGATGAATCATTTAACCTTTATTGTGCAGCCTTAATTAAAACTGGGCAGGTAAACCCCACTCACCTGGCCTCAAGAGGTGCACTAGCAGCTCACTCTAGTGGCTGCGGTCTTTAGAGTCCTTGTTAGTGAGCCTGATTACCATGTCAGTCGATGTTGATTTGAATCTTATTCGGAACAGTGCAAAAACACCAATTTATATTGGTGCCGTGACCCGGATGGGAGCGAGGTCTTTAGCATCCTTGTTAGTGCATCCAACTCCAGTTGACGCTGGTTTGTATCCTGCTCAGACTTGTATAAGAGCAATGACAATAGTTACAAAAAGTTAGCTTTGTTTGTGTACACTTATATGTCAACAACCCATGTATGCTAGAATAATCACAATCAATTTTTTCCAACAGTAAAGTTTCAAGCACATACAGAAGTTCTCGAAAGAAGCACCAGGAGCAGCTGTGGCGACTGGAGAAGCAAATCGCAGTAATGGGCGAACGACATGCTAAAGAAGAGGCCGAGCTAAGTACTACACTAGAAGCTATGGAGTGGAGGAGAGAGGAGACAATACTCTAGACAGTGCAGTTCTTCTTAGTATCGTTTTATTGACAAACATTTATGAAAGCTAATGATGAACATTGATTTTGAGTGAGAGGCTGGGTTTTTAGAAACACTGAGCATATAGATCATTGACCTACAAAAATAAAATTGCAACTAAAATTGCAGCACCAGGATGCACCATTTGTCAATAAGGTAATTGCTTTGCTGGCTATACTGGCTCCTGTTGGTGTAGATGCAGCATCACTCAAAAGTTTGGTTACCTACCTGATTGTAAGAATACTCTTCAAAGGCATATTTTTCTCCCATGTGAAAAAGTTTAACTGAACATTTATTAGCCATTTTGACAGTTTGCTGGAATGTACATCATGTAAGTAAACAAGTAGCCAAGTGCAAAGACTGCAAGTATAGCTACTGGGAAATACCAGCTATTCTAGGCCTTGATATTACTAATATATCTCTATATCATCATGTCAGTGTACATCATTTTACAAATATTTGCTTGTAAGTATTATTCCTTTCTATGTGTACAGATATATGTATGTGAAAAATTGCATGCGGATTTTGTATATCATTTTAAAGTTATGTTTTTTTTACATAATGAATAAAACAGTTACAGTTTTGATGTAGTTTAAAAACTACTGTGACCTGGTAGTTTGCTGTATGAAAGCAACAACAACAGGTGCATGCGCATTAGAAAAACATTATATCAGTTTTGTCCATCTAACACAACTCGCTATCGCATAGTCAGATATCGCTATACAAACGTTGTAATGGTTATTATAGTTAAAGTGCCCCTATTATGCCATTTTTAAGGTTCCTAATATTGTTTGTGAGTCACCTATAATAGGTTTACATGCATGCAAGGTCAAAAACGCTTTCATTTTCTCAAAATATGTTTTAATATCATCTGATTCTCCAACGATTTGTTCGAAGCAGTTCAAAGTTTTAGCCTCTCTAAACCCCTCCTTTCTGTGAGCCTACTGTGCTCTGATTGGTCATGACCCATTCTGTTGTGATTGGTCTACTGTGTATAACGTGTCAGAAACGATACGCCCATTGCCAAAATATATATATCTATTATTTATCATATTTACAGGTTGTGATTCAGTGGAGTCAGCTGGTCCAAATAAACTGGGTACTGAGCCATCTTTCAAGGGCAAGCGTTTTATGAATCCTGCATTGAACATTGAGAGAATTCAGAATTCCTAAAACTTGAACTAAAATTAACACAAAATCAGAAAATATAAAAATTAAATGTAATTGAAATATGAACAAACTATTATAGTAGCTCAATGATACTAAAATAACACTGCGTGGTAACTCTGACCTCCTTTTGTCCATTCCCTCTTCACGATCAAAGCAGCTGCATAATCATTTTCATTTAAAAGCATTTTTTCCGTGCGAGTCTCAGGAAAACCGAGATCACACAAAATGGGTCAGTGTGTGCCAGAGGTGGTGTGTCTTTCCCAGCGCGGATCACTCTTCCTGTGAAGATTCGGCCTCACCGTCGCTCTCACAGTGGAAACGGGGGTGAAGGGAGGGACACACAATAGAGAGAGAGGTCAGAGGAGCCTGACTCGCACGTTTGTCTTCTCTTTCACTGATCCACGTCTTTCAGTGTCGCCCGGGCCAGCTGACTGCAGCTGTGGCAAAGGTTGAGTGTCACACCCCCGGGGTTAAAGGATTTGCTCTCTGTTGCAGGAGCTGCTGAATAAAGGGGGTCACGGGGTCACGGTAAACACAGACTCTGTCCTGAACACGCCTGCTGGGGAAGATCCGAGTTTTAGTGATCGTTTAGATAAAGATAATGATTACGTCTCCTATATCCTCAACAAACTGCTGAAGTGATGTGAAAACGACATGCTGAATGATGAGATAATCATTCTTGTTTCTCCATAATCATTAAAAAAATTACCCTCAATTTTGTGGTGAACACACTCACATTTTTCACCTGGGAGACAAAAAAATGTATGGTACTAATATGTACCATTTAGGTGCTAAGATATACACTTTAGGTATTAATATGTACTTTTAAGGTACTAATATGCCCCCTTTATTGGTAAAAAAAAAAAAAGGTACAAAGGTACCACCCCAGTGACAGCTTTTGTACCTTTTTTCTGTGAATGTATGAGGAAGACTAATTTAGAAAGTGTGATTTCTACACCTGGAAAAGTCATGTAAATAAATGAAATATATATATGCAGGTGCATCTCAATAAATTAGAATGTCGTGGGAAAAGTTCATTTATTTCAGCTTCTATGAGCTTTTCCACCCTTCCTCCAGACTCTAGGACCTTGGTTTCCAAATGAAATACAAAACTTGCTCTCATCTGAAAAGAGGACTTTGGACCACTGGGCAACAGTCCAGTTCTTCTTCTCCTTAGCCCAGGTAAGACGCCTCTGACGTTGTCTGTGGTTCAGGAGTGGCTTAACAAGAGGAATACGACAACTGTAGCCAAATTCCTTGACAAGTCTGTGTGTGGTGGCTCTTGATGCCTTGACCCAAGCCTCAGTCCATTCCTTGTGAAGTTCACAATGGTTGGTTGTGCATCTTTTTCTTCCACACATTTTCCTTCCACTCAACTTTCTGTTAACACGCTTGGATACAGCACTCTGTGAACAGCCAGCTTCTTTGGCAATGAATGTTTGTGGCTTACCCTCCTTGTGAAGGGTGTAAATGATTGTCTTCTGGACAACTGTCAGACCAGCAGTCTTCCCCATGATTGTGTAACCTAGTGAACCAAACTGAGAGACCATTTTGAAGGCTCAGGAAACCTTTGCAGGCGTTTTGAGTTGATTAGCTGATTGGCATGTCAACATATTCTAATTTGTTGAGATAGTGAATTGGTGGGTTTTTGTTAAATGTGAGCCAAAATCATCACAATTAAAAGAACCAAAGACTTAAACTACTTCAGTCTGTGTGCATTGAATTTATTTAATACACGAGTTTCACAATTTGAGTTGAATTACTGAAATAAATGAACTTTTCCACGACATTCTAATTTATTGAGATGCACCTGTATTAGGGCTGTAAGTTTAACGCGTTAACTTTTAATAAAAAAATAAAAAAATTAATTAACTATGAAAAAGTAACGTGATTAAAATATTTTAACGCAGTTAACGCACAGTTACAATTTGTAATGTCTTCTTGATACTTTCTCATTTAACACAAAAATAGCTTTAAATAATCTTTTGTGGGTATTTTCACAGTCAAATTTATTTTGCGATTAATTAGAAGAATTAATTGACACATCATGTAATTAATTTATATATATATATATATATCTATATCCCTACCCATAAAATCACAAACGACTGGAAGTGCCATGTAAATTAAGAGGTCGAACCCTGAAAAATATAAAAACTCTGGAATCCTGAAATGTAATTAATTTTAATTAGAATTATTTTAGAATTGTATTTTTAATTTATTTTTTTCACTACAGAAACTAGGAATAGATTAAAATAATATATTAAAATAATTTAACGTGGGGCCTTGGAGTCAAAAAATAAAAAATAAAAATCACTGACCTCGAACAACTATCAACCATCTAAAACCAGAAGTCTAGTCAGGACCAGACCAAAACTAGATCCCTCAAATCTAGCCCTCAAGTCTTCATGCAAGAAAAATATTGATACATAATTTTTCCCCTACTCACTTAAGACGTAACTGTTTGTAAATGCTCGCCAAGACAGGAATTGCGCACGTTTAATGTGCACTGTTTAGATGCAATGTTATTCATAACTAACTCACAGAACTAATCAACTAATTCCCTCATTCAAATACAACAATCTGTGAAATAGAAAGTGAAGGCAAACATCACAGATGAGCATGTCACGCAAACCCAGCAGCATCTGTGTGGTGTAAAGGGTTTTAAGAGCTTTGGGATGCTCCGATCCCTGGGAAAAAACTCACAAAAACAGGAGCTGTCAATCACAGCAGGGGGATGGGTTATTAGGCCCCGCCCCCGCCCCGAAAGCACACACGCACACACAGCAGGCTCTGACCCGCAGGATTAAGGTCAGCTCATTTACCCCAAACATCATGTCACATTTAAATACGCTTCCCCCTGAACAGCATGAGTGGATTGTAGCTGGCCGATGCTCTTTTTCTCACAGACGTCAATGCTCTCTTTTTCCTCTCGACTCGTACTCTGTTTCTGTTTTCCTCTCGTTTCCTCCGGCCCTCCCTTTCTTCGCTCTTAACCTCTCACACTCCGCACTTAGCGGTATAACATGCTGCTATTCAGATAAAAAAAGACGTTTGACCCTGATCAAATGACTGAATGTGGTTTTTCTGTTCTCTCTTTCATTTCGCTTGTCCAACAGACTATTAAAGGGTGGAAAAATGAGTGGAAACATGCACTCACTCTCATGTCGTTCCAAACCCCGCATGACTGTCATTCTATAATGGAGCTCAAATGGAGACATTTAGCAAAAAAAGTCCAAACCGATCATTTCAGAACACAAAAGTCTATTGGCTCATTCTAGGGAACCTTTCATGTCCATTGATGATAATCATATTGTTTATAACAATCTTCTTAAGAAATATCATATTAAGAGAAAACGTAGCCTACCCCTGTTTTTTCCCAGTTTGCTTGAAATTTGCTTTATGTCCCTTAAATTGGTTTTTGCAATGTCTGCTTTTTGAATTGATAAGTCTTTTGAGTTCAAAATAATGAATAAAAAATATTAGTCAACATTATCTTAATTATTCAATTAAATTAGTATGTACATTAAATGTATTTCTACAATCTAAATGCCTTAGAAAAATAGACTAATTTTTAATTTCATTTTCTTTCACGAGAAAATATTTAATTTAGCTCATGTCAACTATGTTACTAATTAGACACTTCTAAAAATTAAAAATTGGTTTAATAAAAAAAACAACAACAACAACACACACACACATTACGGTAATTTTTTCTATATTTGATCTCCAATGACCCATTGTCAAGGTGTTTATTAATTGCTTGTTGGGTAAATTGTTACAGTTTGCAATAATTGTATGATTTTAATCCAAATTAATATTAAAATGTGAAGAATATAGCATTTATAACATATAACAAGTAACATATAACATTTATAACATCAAGAATATAACATTTGGTTGGCCAAAGAAGGCCTACCTTTGAAATTATGAGTCAAAATGGTGAATATCAAAATGGTGTGATTAAACTTGGCAACTAGCAAATATGTTACACTGAAACCAATAGCTGTTTTATTGAGAAAATATTTTGTTTTTACTAGTGCTGTCAAACGATTAATCACGATTAATCGCATCCAAAATAAAAGTTTTTGTTTACATAATATATGTATGTGTGCTGTGTATATTTATGTATATATAAATACACACACATACAGTATATATTTCAGAAAAATAGGCTATGTTTATATATTAGATATATTTATTTATAATATAAATTATAT